AATGTCCAAACATCATAATAGCAGAGAGAATTGACTGCATCCCGGATCAAGTAGCAACAAAGGTCTGAAAATTTTCTATGGCCTCACGCTTAATTACAAAAATTGAACTTGTCCCTATGATATCAGTTGTTTTCTCCACCTTTTTTAATCTGTGATTGCCTGAATACATTTCAGGGAAGTGCAACTCTTCTATAAGCCATTTCAGCCCATTGACAGAAGGCCTGATTTTTCTAGTCACTGTGGCAGTTTGCTGCCAAAGGTGGAAGACCACTGTCAAAGTACTCCCCAGCAGTTATGTTTTGAGATAGATGGAAAAAAGGTTAGTCAGACATCAAGCAGTTAAAAAAAAAAAAATCTCTCTCTACTTTTAACAACTTTGCGAGAGCAGTTTGTTTTTGTTCAATTGTCAAGTATTAGTATTTATAATAGTTCAGAAATAACAGGTGAGGATGCGCTTCATCCAGATACAAAAGACTTGAAACATAGTCACAGTTTCCTTTAAGAACTAATTTGAATCTTAAAGTCTCCTTTCCTTGGTTGTGGTGTCTCTTACCTGAGAGAGTGTAGTGTTTAGAAATGAGATTTGGTTTAAGTATCTACGAGTTAAGATTCTGAGTGAAAAATATCTTCTTAATTTTTCAGTTCTCTCACTTTCAGAACATTTTTGTACTGATTGGTCTTGAAAAGTTATAATTATAATTTTTATTATTATTTTTCATCTTTACGATGGATGTTCTCATTTTCTGATGGAAACTGGCATCTTCGGTTTGGGCAGGCAGTTCAGGAATAAAAATAGTGAATATATTATGATATGTGAGGTATATGTCATTCACAGTGGTATAAAAATTATTAACCAGCTGCCTCAATCACTGAGGGAATTTCCAGTCTAATCCCAGAAATCACAGTTGTTAAAGCCTCTGTCATGCTATGGGTCTTGTTATGATACATAGTTCAATAAAGTCCTGCAGGCAAACAGGTTAGTAAAGGCTCAAATCACAGCCTGTTCCTCTACTCTTTCAGCTCCTTCACTTCCCCAGGAGCAAGCACACTAGGGTAGGAGTAGTCATGAGATCACTTCAGTCTTTAATTGCTACCTTTGAACCAGTCACCCCACATTAAGTACTGCTGTCATCGTACAGTGAGGGAAATAGTTTTGCTCTAGTTGTAACTGTAATTCTACCATCACTTATTAGAAAGAATTAAAAATAATTGAATTACAGATGCCAGCAGGGAAGCAAGGCTAGATGCAGGTTTAAACATTGGCATACCTACTCTGGAATTAGAGGTTAAATATATGTTTCCTGAATCTGTTCTTTCTTTGGTGAAGACCAGGCAGCATATTTCACAGGATTAGAGGTAGATGAGATTAGATCACCTTTAACTTGTACCCTGATGAAAGCTGTTTAGGTGCATACCTGACACAAGCCAGAATCCCACCCCAGTGTGTCCATTCATTCCTATCTTCTCCTGGTAGCATTTTGGTTGTCCTTCTTTAGGCTATTCTAATACAGCAACTAACAGAGCTGTAAAACTACAGGTACCTGCTTAGAGTAACATAACTCTTCTCTAGTGGTTTCCATTTAGTGGTTTTCAGAATAAAAAGCTGCTGGGAAAATTATGGTTTGCCTAAACTCGTATACCAGGTTAGTGTCACTCTTAATTTCTTTATTCATTGGAGATGTCCTAGATGAAGCCAGAAATAGAGTAGAATTGCAGAGGGTATATGTATGGAAAGCAAATAGATATTTATTAACCAATCACAGGGTTGATGAAGATAGACATAATGAAAGAAAGTAGATAGTTATTAACTATTCACTGCTGGAGAAAATTGCCATGAAGTTTGAACGGTTAAGAAGAATGTACCAGTAAAAATTGATCTACCATAAGCAGAGCTGGTTTAGTCTTATTGAACCAATACCATTGAAAGCTTGTGAGAAGTGTGTATTGTTGTTTTTGTTTTGGTGTGTGCATCAAGCAAAATATCCTGCTGGCAGAGGTTTGTTTGGGTGCACATAAGAGAAACATTTTACTTCAGCACGTAGACAACCTGTTCTTTTAACCTTTGTTGCTCAGATCAATGTCCAGAAGCTATCTCATACTGTAGCCCAGCGTAAACTGTTTCCTCTTATCCAGGATTGTTTCTAATTAAGCTTTGCCTTTCTCTTGGGCTTTATAGACTATTGGTATCTATTACTCTGGTTTGATAGCTCAGAGGCTGTGATCAGCTCACATCTTTATTTACACTAAATGATAGTTTTTATAACAGCCTCTCCACTGTCTTTGGGTGAACTCTGCTCCTTTTTCCGTGTCAGGTGAAACCTAACTGCATTTCTGTATTTACTTCCTTATGCAGCGAGCTGTGTGCCATGAAAATCCACTAGAATAAGATCATGCTAGAAGAATATCACTGGACTCTACAGTAACTGCTGAAAATAGGCAGCAAGTATTCATGAGAAGTAGCTGGGAATAAGGAAAAGCATGCTTAAAAAGTTGGGAATGCAGATTCTTGAATTACCAGGCTTTAGGAAAATCTGTTGTTCAAGCTATTGTGTGTTGCATGGGAGGCAAGGGATAAGAGGATAGAGTTAGCAAATCTGTTTTCCTGTATTTAGGATATTTCCCTATGTATGAAGTAAATTAAATAATTAACTTCAGGGAGCAAAACTGTGATCTCTGCAGTCTTGGAGGGGATTGGTGCTTCTTCTCATTTACTCTGAAATAGTTTATAAAATGGGAATTAGGGAGCTGCCATGTTGGGAGTTGGGAAGGTGGAAAAGTGAGATGGGTTTTTTACAGCCTTAGAAAGTCCATTGATTTGCGGATCGATATGGGGCAAAAGGAGTCGCCCTGTTTCCAACTGTGCTTTTTGCTTGGAACATCATGGAAATGACAGCATACATGTTTTCTGATGTGATGAGTCCATGACAGAGAGACAAACACACATCTTTTTGGTGGATCTGGGTTTTATGTCAGGTGGTTTTGCATAGATTTCTGTGCTCCATGCAATCGCTACTGAATAAACGCGCTAAGATTTCTCAAGCCAGTGGCTCTGGGAGCTGCCTCTGTGCTTTCATTCAGCACTCGCATGATTTCTGGGCTGGAACTGGCTTATCTTTGCTCTTTTCAGAGGCCGAGAAAAGCATTTGACCTTCACCGACCAGGTTGGGCTCTATAACCCAAAACCAAGTGCCACCAGGACAGCAGCAGTAGATCAAGTTGCAGAATATTTTAAATAAGCATGGCACAAACACCAAAAACCTTTGAGCACAATCAGATGGAAGCAGAAACAATTTCTGTTAGTGGGAAGGTGGAGGGAAAGGTATAAAGATCTGCATGTTGGATTTGGATACCTGAGACCTCTTACAGATGCTGCCCTTCGCTCTCAGTGAAGCTTGCTGTATTCCTACTGCCCTTTGCCCCAAGTAATGAGTCAGGTTTTTAATGTGAGAAAATGTCTAGAAACTTAGTGATGTATTACCCAAATCTTATCTTCAAACGTACAACTCATGCAAATGGCATGAGCTGTGTGAATAAGCTAATTCTTAACAAAGCAAAGGTACTGTAGCTTAGTGGAGTACTGAAAGGATGTGTAAAGGTTGGTGCCACTGCACTGAGATATATGCTTTAAGCAACAGGTTGATTTACTTGGATTTTTTGCTTTTTAAATGGTCATTTTGCCTGTGGATCTTGTAGTTTTAAGAAAGAATTAATGTCTAATAAGCACATTTCTACTCTGAATCCAGAAAAAAATAGTTTCTATTTAGTGTATTCTGTGCCATTGAATTCACCTGATAGATTTTCATAGAAAGAGTTGATCTGATTGCGGGTATTATTCAGGTTTCTGGTGTTTGGAACAAAACGCAATCCATGTGCATTTTAATGTTTTAATATAGAGGATTTATTTGTGTAAAATTCAGCTCATTTGGGCCCCTCATGTCCTTCAAACAGAGAATCTGCACCCTGCGTGGCTGCTGCTGGAGTCCCATGAGCGATATCAGTGTGCCCTGGTGTTTTTTCTCTTCAAACCATGGTTACAAAGTGGATGGGTCGATAAGATCAACTGAGAAAGGTAAGCTGCGGGCTGAGATCCCCAGTTTACGCACGTGCCGATGTCCAGTTCAACACAATAGCATTGCAACCTTTGTTTTCTTCCCAAGGATTTGAGACTACGTTAACAAGGCTGCCATCACCTTCTCTCTTTGGGGATGATATCAACACCGTCCTCCTCACAGGAGAGTGTCAGACATCAAATCGCTTCCGGTTCAAGGTTAATCTGTTTCTCTGCTGGTTTAATGTTCACGTTCGGTGCAGGATTTTAGGCTGGCTGTTACTGTGAAGTGAGGTTAGAAGGGCTGGATTAATCCCTCTGATGCATTCTCATGACTCCCGCAGAAGTGCTCAGCTCCTCCTTTCTTTGTCCCTGCTGCTGTTGAAATGTATCAGGTCAAGGAGGGTTTAGCACTGTATGATTTCTGCATGGAAAAATTACTGAGACCTTTGAAAAGCTCAGCTTTTATATTATGTAACTTTTTTCCTCATAATAGGAAAATATGGGGTATTACTGTATTTACTTAGTTTTTATTTATGGCCTGGCCCTACCTTTGAATCCTTTTGACTTACAACATTAGCTCTTCCCATGATTTCTGTTTCCTACGGAAAACTCAACAGTCTATGCTGTGAATGTGGAGTATCGATGGGTTCTGGGGTATCAACAGGTTGTGGGGCTGAGCAGGGCTTCTTCTGTCGTGGGAACAGGGAAACACAGTGACGATGAAGGCAGAAGAGGAGACTGGATTAGCAGTGGGAATATCCTAAATCAGAACTGTATGTTAACACTGGAAGATGTGTGAATTAGAACTTAGTTTTTAAAAGCCCAACACTTCTGTTGTTTACATATGTGCAGATCACTGATCCTAAAAAACCCAGGTTTGAAGTCCCTCATCAGCATGTGCGACCTTTCAGTGGATCTGCAGCCTCCAATTTAAACTACAAAGTGGATGTGAAGCAGAACCCTTTTGGCATCGTGGTGACCAGAGTGAGCAATGGCAGAGTGCTGTAAGTAATGCTGGTGCTTTTTCTGAAGAACACAGATGTCACTGGTTTGTCCGGGAGACCCTTGAGCAATGTGTGTTTGAGATGCTGTGCGTGACCTGCCCTCGTGGACATGTAATTTATTTCTCTTCTTTCGACTGATGGATCTTCTGCAGGGACTCTGAGGAGGCCTTTGCAAAAAAATTCTATGACATGGAGAGCTCTGCCTAAAATGTTTTTGGTCTGGGTCTTTGTTCTCTTTCCTCCAGTACTAGGGAAATCTTTACAGCTACTTCGTTCCATCATTTCAGGGAATTTGTTGTTTAATTTGATAAAGGTGGTTGCAGTTTCTGTCTATAAAGAAAAAAATTACAATTATGCTGACTGAGTTTGAGTATCTCAAAGAAAGCTGCTGTTAGCATGGGATAAGGACATCCCTCAGAGAGAAATCCTTGATACATTTGTTTATACAAGATGAGTGCTTTCCTCTCACTCTTAAAACAAACAAGGAGCAAAACGACAAACAAAAAGCCACCAAAAAAGGGAAGTTTCTTTGTAAAAGGAGGAGTGGGGCTCAATGTTTTATTGCAGTTCATTACAAAAATCCTCATTATCTAGATAGTTATAAAGACTATGACCTTCCATCAACATTTGTTACACTTGAGCTCCTCAAAGAGTTAGAGTTCTGACTGAGGTATCACCATCATCATTTGCAAGACCATATGAAAGATTGCCATGGTTTCATTGGAAATACAGACTTTCCTCTCTCCAAAAAAAACTACTTTCAGTGCAGTTTGTAAGCAGACGGGCAGGATAGTCCTTGGAATCTTTAAAAGTGGACAGAAATACATCAGACAGGGATTTGACTTATGAAGCCTTCCCCAAATATTCATATTTTTAACTTAAAAAAAAAAAAAAAGAAGAAAAGGTATATGAGACACAACTGTAGCACGCCCAAACTCCAGTGGTTGTCTCTTATTTGTTGAGTGTTTGTAATTTCTAATTAACTGTTTATTTATTTAATAGTTTAAGGGCCTCTTTATCACTAAAATCTTTAATGCATAATGACATACTCATAGTGATAAATACAGTTATGATGTACTGATACATTTGAAGTGATAATGTCCCTCAAAATTAATGTGGCTTTGTTTGTGTAAGTTGAGAGAAAGTTACAATACTCTCTCCTATATGGATATTGTCACTGTTATCTACCATAAATATCACAAGAAAATACAGCTGTTAAAATGGTTTCTAATTAAAACTACATAAAATGAGTAGATAAAATAACATTCCTTTGAAGTTATATATGATGATAATACACATCAAGGTAGTTTGCTGTCTCAAAGTAATTTTCTCTGCTTTCAAGGAAAGACTGAAGTTCTGCAGATCCCTGTAAGCTCTTGGTTTAATGAAGCTGAAGATAACATTCAAATCTGAGGACCAGCTTTGTTCCAATTTCTCTCTGCTTTAAATCTGGTTTAACGCCCAATTACATTCTATTTATGATTGTTTCACTTAAAAAGTGATGACTGATGGAAACTCAAACTACTTCTGGGTAGGGGTCACTTTTGATATATTTACCCGCTGGAAACATTCCAAGTCTCAGAGGAATGAAAGAGGAAAATCAACGTGATTCAGCACATAAGGAATGAAATTTAATGTTTTGATTGATCCCATGAGTTGTGGGAGATCCTTGCCCAGGATGATATGTGGTGTTGCTTAGGAAATGCAATGCTGTCAACCATTCTGATGCACTCGGCTGCTTAGGGAGATATTTAATTTTATCACTAAGATAAACATGACCAAAATCCCAGCATCCTTGTCACATGACAGAACATGACCACGTCTTGGTGCTGTTGTGGGCACCCACCTGGCTGTAGAAAAAGATCCCTATGCCTAGACCCCTCCATCTATCAGGAATGAGGATGCCTAAATGCCTGATGATGTCTTTTTGTAACTCTAGGAGACCATAGGTGGGGTCACAACCTGAGGCATTTCTGGTCAAGGGAGCCTAGACTCTGGTTCACTGTTACAGCTGTGACAGCCCAGCAGAGCTAAAGGCAGGAGGGCAAATCACTGAGCCCATTGTCTCACTGTGGGCTGCTCCTTGGTGCACTTCATGTCAGGAATTGGGCTGCCTCCTGCTGCTCTTTGCCTCAGCGCTGCTCAGATTGACTCACCATTCCCTGGAATGAAAGTGAAGGAGTGAAATCAGGGGTTGCTTAAGTATGTAAAGCTCTCATAATCCTTATTTAGAGGATGAATTTTTTGTCTGTAATGAAATGGAATGGTGAGAGGTGCAAAATCAAATTAACAAAAGAAACTTTATTAATGAAATTGACTTTTTCTGTGTGTTTTGCTAATAGATGTAAAGGAGGGATATTGATCTCTGGCTTGTTCTGTTTGTACAGATATATACAGTAGGCTCTGTATGTATTTTCAACATTACCAACTTCGTATTCCTTAAAAAGCATAGCAGTTCTTTTATGAGAATTTGCCGCAGGAGAGGTGATCGCCATCAAACAGGATTTAAACCATGCAAAGAATCACATTATCATGTTAATCTGTGCTCATCTACGCCCGGTTCATTCAGGAGCTAGCACATAGCCACAGTCTGCCTTTCCCTGTAGTCAATTGACTAGCAGGACTCAGGAGCGGGGGTTGTTGATTTTCGTTGGCAAGCAAAAGCTGCAATTGATTTGCACAGTCTGATGGAGTGGATTATTTTTGTGTTCCTCTCCACCCACGGAAATTTTCCATCTGTCCCGTTACTGTGAGCGGCCACAGGAGAGTGGATTCAGGATTCAGTGCAACAGATGCAAGGTGTGGGAAGTTTTGGTGGAAGAAGAGAGTGCAAATGTACCCTTGACGATAGATGTGCACTTGTGTGAGAGGTTTTTGTAGGATCAACTTTCAACATGCAGCTCATCATCTGTGCAAGGGTTGCTCTGCTCCAGCCCTGCACCATTCCACCTCCCTCTCCTTCAGGTCTGTCCATGCAGACCTGAACCTGCTATCCAGGTCTAACTACAAGGAGGAGAAACAATTCTTGACACAACTCTTAGTGAAATACACTTCTTTTTTTTTTAAACTTGTTTCATCAGGTTTGATACTACCATAGGACCACTGCAGTATGCTAACCAGTTTTTACAGCTATCCGTCAAACTACCTAGCAGCAACATTTATGGTGTGGGAGAGCATGTGCATAAGCAGTACCGGCACGACGTTAACTGGAAAACCTGGCCCATATTCAGCAGAGATATTGGCCCCTCTGGGGTAAGGACTGGTTTTATTCTTTGCAGATGACTTCTGGAATCCAAGCCTATTATGCAGTAAACACATTAGTAATATCCATTGAGTTTTTCCCCAGAGACTTTTCAGGCACTGAATGTTATTACTAAAATATAGATGGTACTGATGAAAGTTCCCTGAGGAATAGCTTTTTGTAAATGTTTTGATTTTTGCGTTGATGTGCAGTTGAAAACCAGTTGATAAACATTATTATATGAGAGTCTTCAGTATTTACTGATAAACAAAATAAATAACAATATGTCCTAATGCACTGCTCTGTGCATTCAGTGCAGATGACGTGTTTCTACAGTTAACATCCTTGGAGCTTGGGAAATGATGGAAAGGTTCTTTTTTACAGCTCTCTCTTTACAAGATAAAATACATCTGTCAGCAGTTATTTGTTTCTGTAGTCTGTCTCTTTCCAAAACACTTTCTGGGGCACCTGTTTGTTAATAATAGTAAGACTATTTCTCGCTACTCAGTGTTTTGCTGAAATAGGAGGTATACTAACAAAAACTAGAAGGGAGAAAACAATATGTAATTAAGAATAATTTAGAATTTGTACCTCTTACCCTGAGGTACAAAGTACTTTCTCACGATCTTTTCTGGTTTGAAGATGGTTCTTACCTGAATGGCTCCACTGAATGCAGACTCATTAAGTTAAACTATC